CACTTGGCTCAGGGCAAAACCCAGGGCTGTGATTAAATCAACACGGCTTTGCCCCACGTCCATCAAGAGTGAATATAGACTCTTCCCCCAGACTGTGGGATCCTCAGGCAGGTCGTAAACAAGATTGGGCAGGATGGGTTAGTGGGCAGTGCCTGGGCAGGGAATCAGGACGCAGAATTCTAAGCAGTTCAGTTGGGACTTTTAAGGAGCCCAAAAGGTTACCTGCCTCAGCATTGTCATTTGTAAGACATTTGTAAGAGGAGCCAGTAATTTTCGGGGGCACCTGATCTATAAAGTAACAGCCAAATGTAAGCAGAGCTAGCCTTATTATTGCAACAGATGCCTATTAAATTCTTGTTTGCAAAAACAGGACACATTGACAGCCCATAAACCAGGACTTCTAATCCTGCCCCGGCACAGTTTGTATCATGCGCCCTGTTCTGAGCCTGAGAGAACAATGAATGGAGAACCAGGACAGTGTCTGGACGGAGCAGAAGGGCTGTCTCCCCCGTCCTCCCCAGCTCTCCCACCCTGCCGATGTGATGGGAGTTTCAGGATGCTGCATTTGGCCATGCCAGGTGTGATCCGGGGTCTACTCTCTGAAGTATCTGTTTTCCTCCCTGTCTCCATGACAACTCAGGAAATGCCACGAGGGCAGAGCCAATGTCTTATTTGTCCTTACATCCCACAACCTAGTGCAGGGCTGGCAAATAACAGGTACCCTCTGTGGACACAGGTACCCAATAAACATTTGTGATGTGCATAAAAATGCATCTCCTGTACACCCGAAACAAATATTGTAAGTGGGCTACATACACTTCAATAAAAAATAAGAAAAAAAAACTAAAAATGTATCTAAGAGACGGAAAATCACAAGAAACTAGCAGTGAAAGAACACGAGGCAGGACGATGGCAGCCTGTGCCCACCACGGTGAGAACACAGAGGAGCCAGAAAACAGGGAAGTCTCCTAACGGAAGAAACGCTCTGGTGACGCCCAGCCAATCTGTCTTTCCCGCTCTGCCCCTGGTGCAGTCAGCATCTTTGCCTTGGTTGGGGGAGGGGGGCGTGCCTTTTGTGCTGTTGTCCTACATGTAACTGTTAATTCAGCTTCCCTGCTGAGAGGTAGCCCTGTGACAGTCATCAAGGATGTTACAAGTATTTTTACCACTCCTCACAAACAGTGAAGGACCATGAAGGATGATACTTCATGGGGAAAGAGATGTAAATGGAAGCAACATTTGTCTCTTTTAGGAAGAAACTTTAAAGAGCCAGTGAGTAATTCACCACATTGCCTTTCATCTGCTCTGGGGGGTTGTCATGAGACAAGATGGAACCTCCATCGGCCAGGCTCCCTGAGCGACTGCAATGAGCTAACACACCCTACTGCGTATGTAGCAAGAGGGAGAAGATCAACTTTTACTGTGTTAAGTAAGCTGAACTTTGGGGGAGGTTTGTTACTGCAGCATAATCCACTCTCTTCAGACTGATACATGTTGCAATGGATAAACCCAGCCTTTGGCTCTTCCAGCAGAGCCAAAAGTGGGCCCCAGTGAGGTATCAAAGAGGAACACAGGCTTCTCCAGAGGCTTCTTGGGGGAGGAGGGGAATCTGGGGAAAAGACACAGACCTGGGATTTCAGGTAACGAACGAGGGGAGTTCAGCCAGGTGAGAATGATGTGATTTGAGGGGGAATCTGGCTTGAGAGAAGAAGAGAACTTAGGCTCCTTAGAAACCCAACAACTGGGACTTTGGTTTAGAACAGACTAGACTCACGGTGCCCAGAAGGATTCTAAACTCCAGAGGTCTCCACTCTGCCTTGGCTCCTCCTGCTTAGCTCTCTCATCTGTCAAAATCATTTTCTTTAACTTATCCTGAAATAATTTAAGACTTGGAAGAAGATGGGGAACATGGTAGAAAGAGTTCCTCTCTGCCTTTCAAGATTGCCCAGGTATTCATCATCTCCTCCCTCACTTTATCATTCCGCTGTCCTTCCACACGTGTGCACGCACACGTGCAGACACACACACACACACTTTTTTCTGGAAATCTTTAAAGAGAAGCTGCAGACACAATGCCTCTTTACCTCTAAAGACTTCAAAGACATATATAATCACAGCAGAATAATAAAAAAAAATCAGGAAATTAACACTGACACGGTATTGTAATTTCATCTTCAGACCTTATCCAGATTTTGACAACTTCCCCTAAAATGTCCTTTATCTGCCCAATCTAGGATCACACCTTGCATTTAGTCATCTCTTCAGTCTCCATTTATCTGGGGAGATTCTGCCATCAGAGTTTTTTTTGGCCTGAGAGCTGCACAACCAGCTAAGACCCCAGAGAATGTCCCAGAGCAAACATGACAAAGGGCAGAGAGGCGTGAGTAAGAGAGTGACCTGCTTTTTAAATAAGTTTGATTGAAATAGGAGATGAATGACTTGTACACTGTTTACGACATCTGTGTGTCTAACTTGGCTGCAGAGCTTCATACATGGAGTGTGAGAATTTTCATGGTCATGTTCAAACCACCTCTACGGGGACCCTCACATATGAGGGAAGTTTTGTGTCGTTTAGTTGGGCTTCTTCATCTGAAAAGCAGGGAGAAAAGTTGTAAGGGGATCGAATGGAGGGACACGTTATGTTTCGGGCAGGGGACGTGCTGAGTCAGAGGAGGCAGACGGCTAAGTGGTGAAATCCAGCAGGCAGAGGAATAAATGGGTCTGTAATTGATAAGAGTCCTAGGCTGGAGGAGCATCTTGAACTGAAATTGCCTAACACATTCGTTTCTTTGAGAAGAAACATCACAAAGGAATAAATATGACGCGAGCAAATTCAGCGGATAGAGATACACGACCAGTTTCTCAAACACCGAGCTTGTATCTGGCTTTTCCTCTTTTCCCTTCTCAAACAAAACTACCATTTTCACTGCTCCGAAGGGGGAAGGGCACAGAAAACAGCTGTCCTACATATGTGTTTCACTCAGAAATTTCCAGGGTGACAGTAAAAGGAGCTGCTTATGAAGTGGCGTCTTGCCGGCTTCACACGTGGATCCAGGGTTGCCCGGGTGACAGTCCCTGTCAACTGCCAGCATCCAGGGCCCCTCAGGCAGCCTTGTTCACCACCAGGTCCTCTCAGGAGGGAGCCCCTACACCATCAACCGCCCAGCACTGTAGCACTGCAGGGCCCAGAGCCTGCTCCTGGGCTCGGGGGGCCTGTGTCCTAGGCCGGGAGCCAGAGTTCCTATTCTTTCATGAGATACTTAAGCATTTCCATTAAGATCTACATTCATTATCATATTCTAGATGATAAAAGCCTAATTTAATAATAATTCAGGTGTCTACTGTCATATGCATGACCTATGAGCTTCACAAGCTTTGTGAAAGCAAATGAGGTTAAAGTAAGTGATTAAAAATGAAAGTTCCCTATAACATAGCATTTCTGACTTTCATACACTCACCCCTACTTGTTTTAACACCTACATCGAGATCCAGAACTACCTTTTCTATTAAAAATTAAAAAGTAAAATTTCAGTGCTCTATAATGATCTGCTTTTAAAGCATCTCAAACATTACATTATAAGGAAAATGCCAGGCAACTTTGCTAGACAAAGGAGTTTTTTCTATAAAAACCAAACAAGGAACTTCTGCAATTGGTTAAGGAAGAAATTTAGGAAATTTGGATCAGTTCCTCCACTGAGGACAGCTAGAAATGGTGGACAAAATATTTTCAGAAGTATGCGCAAAAGTAATCAGGAAACCAGTGAATGATTAACTGCTGGGCTGGAGTACAGGGAAGAATGCACCCAAGGAGTTAAACCAGCGTTCGGGAAGCCTTTCTCCCTGGGGCTTCTGCTTGTTCTGGAAGGAGCGGCTCTAAGGTTGAGCAGCTCCTTTTTCAGCATCACAGGACTAGGATGACTGGGATCGAAGTTTA